CTCTAATCCTAAACAGAGAGAGAAAATGGGTTTTAAAGGGGGGGATTATGTTTCTCCACTCACCGAGGCCGTGCATTCAAAATGAGCTGAGCTGGGAGAAGAACTCCTGCTCGTGTGATCGGAAGGGTTTATTCATTGGTTTCTCTTTGCTGTACTGTTTCTCATTTCTTCATGTGTGTTATTTTGGCCATCTCTGAAAGTCTTTCTGTCCATTATTCTGTCAGATCTGAAAGACACATTGTTAATCATTTTCAATTGGTAAGTATTATCATCTTTTCACCATTGTTTCTTTGCTCTGCTCCATCAAAGGTAACAGATCCATTGATGAATACAGCTTTAACTCACGTAACTTTGACAAAACATGATGGTCTTCTAACCTCAATGATTTCCTCCTCTTTTCTGAGTATGTGGCATCGCCACATCTGTGGTGATGGCACATTTCAGCTTCAATTTTTATCCAGATGCACATGTTGACATTTCTGCTGTATTTTCTTCAGGCATGTAAAGTTAAGTATGTGTTCTGTCCTTTCTCTCTCCTCCGACAGGGAGTCCTGTCAACCTGACGTGCAGAGCCTTCTTTGGATACAGCGGAGACGTCAGTCCACTTATCTATTGGATGAAGGGGGATAAATTTATTGAAGATTTAGATGAGGAGCGAGTTCAAGAGAGCGACATCAAGTAAGAACTTGAGATTTTGAACAGGTCTTTTTCAAGACAGTTTTTTTTTTTACCAGTCTGCGCTTGCCTCAAAACCACCCACCAGCCCCAACTCCCAAGACGATACAGGAAAGATTAGACGGTTGTGGATTACCAACAGCAATCGTAACAAACTCTCACGAGATGAGAAAGAAAGGGTTTTACTCCTGTTTGCAGCTCATAGCCATTTATCCATCTTTGATTAAAGGGTTGTTCATTTAATGTCTTACACCTTTCCTCATTAATTGATACTGATCAAATTATGAGATGAGGTTTCAGCGGTTTTACCCTGAAACTTCAAAAAGTTTAAGTGCTACAGAATAAATACAAGATATTCCAACAGTATTTCTGTTGAGGCTCATAACACAAGAACTTCTCAATCTTTAGCGACAAATCTGGAGTGCAGAGGTTTTACTTCTAAATAAATGGCTTGCATGTGTCCTTGAGCTCTTCTTTTTTGCAAGGTTTCAGTAATTTTCTCAAAAATTACAAAAGATTTGAGTTTGTACCCAGGTCCTTTAAGGATTCAAATGTTTCCTGACATAAAAACACTTTACTTTGAAGACTTAAAATCACTCTGACGTTTTAGGATTGATCCAGAAACATTAGATCATTCATTATCTGGATAAGATATTGACATATTTACATTATGAATAAATTCCCCCTTTTTTAAGTTTTTGCTCAATAGCCATCTTTGCGTCTGTGTCCACTCGGAAATCAACAAATCTCACACCCTTTCATGTCCTGCTCCACTCTGACAGGCCTCACTTTGTGACTAGAGAACCACTGTTGTCTATAAATGCCGTCTAATGAAAAGGTTAACTGTACACAGCATGACAAGGCTGGGAGGAGAGTCAGCGGCCCAGTCAGTGACCTGGCATTTGGAGATGTCTCTATTAGCCTGCTAGCACGCTCTGTTCAGCTCTTAGCGCCACTTTCCCTTGTGAAGGACACCAGGCCAATTAGAGCCTACAGGATTTAAGGGGAAGCTGGTTGAAGGTGGTGGGATTGGGTAGGTGGTGTATTAAAGATCAGAAGGGAGAATATTAATCATTGCATCACATTGAGTTAGGAACCGGCGATAACCTACGATCGTCAAAAGAAGTAACAAGAGACAGAATGAAAAGTGTGACACTGAGCTGCTGTGACAGCGTGTGCTGATGTGTGTGTGCAGCTCTCTCGCATGCAGTGGGTACTCACACTCAAGTTTTTGAAACCTATATTTTTGTTTTGTGCCGCTGCACGATACTGTCTCCCTCTGAGTGTTATTATTTATTTTATTTTTTGCTCCCGTTTGAATGTGCACCACTTCAAACCTTTTCCCTGACATCATTCCATGAGCTTTTAGCTTTGAAATGGAAATTAATCACACAGGAGTATTCCCTGAAGGGCTGCCTGTAATACATGAAATGGAGCTTTTGGCTCTACGTTTCACCACTGAGATTCTGGGTTGATACAAAATGTTATGGTTGCAGAACAAGATTTCAGACATCTCTGAGGTTTATTATAGAGCAGAATAGACAGAACGGCCGTACTGCCGAACTGTCAGATAGGGGAAAGCTTGTGGCCCTAGTGCACGCCTTTTCGAGCAACAATTATCTCAGTCCAATTAATGCTTCTACGGATCCATTCCTGGGAAATTAGGGCGCTTACAGGGTCCAACAGTGCTATTTCCCCTCTTTTCGTGCTGCAGTCTCAGCGGTGCTCAGTGCAGACTGAAATTTGTGCCATTGATAGTTTAGAGTAGTAATAGTCGTGATGCAACCTTTGTGTAAAGTGACCCATTGCTTCAATATCTGTTAAAAAGGGGAAATCTTTTTTGTGATAATTTTGTGACAAAGGATCATTCTTGAGTTGCTTGTGGTGGATTGGCCATCTGATAATATTGTTTGCAGTTCAAAATATTGAGGTTCCTGATTGCTGTATGCTGTCTCTGTTTGATTTAATCTCAGCTTTGAATAATATGCTCCTGTGTTGTTTGATGAGCTGCTATGCTGTGGGTGTTTAGGAAGCATTAGTGGATTTTTGCTTGGGCCAATAATCCGTGCATTTAGCTTAAAATCTTTAGGGTACAGCGTTTCATTTCATTTAGTCAGGTCGTGGCCTCTGCATCAGTGATCATTGGGTCATACCCTCTTGCAAAAAAAAGGCCAAACATTGTTGAAGATTATTGTAAAATGATTATATAACATGAAACCAGTAAAAGTATCACGTGGTATCGTCTGATTTGACTAAAACAGCCAAACTTCAAAACTGAAGTTGCAGTGATATTTACTGCCTATTCTCAGCAATGTGATTTGAAAAGGACAAAAACAATCTAAATATAGAGAGCACAGAGCAGACCTGTCCTCCAGTACACTCGCAGAGTCTTGGCATTTCATACTTTTTCTGAAAATCTGCTAAGGCCACAAGTTTGCTCATTAGCTGCAGTGTTGTTCCAGAATCTATTTATTACTCAAACTATAATTACACAAAATGTTTGATAGAAGAATAAACTAATTCGACCATTTCTGTGACCTCTCACATTCTGCAAGGTAGAAAAGAACATGTTAAAACTACAAAAATAATAGGAGCAGTTGCATCTAGATTCTAGAACATCGTTTAGTGAAAAGCTAAGAGTTAAACTATGACAATACGGATTCATTTTGAACGTTATTTAATTGACAGCGTATTTGAATTATTTGAATATAAAACATTGAAACGTAAAGGTAAATCTAGTATACAACTGTTTGTGGATTAGTAATGAATTACTATATTCATAATGATTTGGTGGTTGATTATTTTTCTCTGTTTATAAATAGATCCCTTCGGCGGTTAAAATTTGGAAAACTGGTGAGCCAGCCGGTCAGTTTTGATTTGTGAGCAATATGTGCAACTCTTTCATTATAGGAAAATAAGTTAGTCCTTATCTCACTCTGGCAGGGACAAAAATCCCTAAAAGGTTGTCTCTCATATCTTTGATCACGTTTGTTTGTTATTTTCTCTTTGACACATCAGTGTCAGTAGGCAGCAGGGTGAGCGCAGCAGCTTTTATTCCTTTCATTCTGACCTTTTTTTCAAACAAGTGGCACCCATTTGGGACACATCCTATTGTTAGCGGCATAACTTTGGCAGACATGCAAAGATCAGAAACCTGGAGTGAAGGCTTACATGTCAATATGCACATGCAGAATGAGATAAAGTTACATCTGTCCATGCTGAATTTAAGGGTAGCAGGAAAAGATTTTTTGCCCAGTTTCCCCTGAAGTTCAGACACTTTGAAAACTATTGCGCTAAGTGATGCAACAGTGCGGCACATGCGTGCACGCCCCACACTGTTGCCTACCGGGGGACGTCACTGTTTTAAATCTCTTATTTTGAGTTGACTCTGATCTGATTCAAATCAACCGTTGGCTTGCAGTCAGCTGAAGTGCAGACAGCAGGGGAAAAAAGATAATGATCAAGGAAGCAACCAGCGTGGCGTTTAGACCAAAAGAACAGCTTGAAAACAAGGTACATCACAGAAGGTGAGGTGTCACAGGAAGAGACTGCACGAGAAAAGATCAAGCAGAGAGTCGTCACATTATCTGGAAGTGATTACAGGAGATTCAAAGGAAGGTATACCAGCCCAAATGAGAGGGAAAAAAAAGCTAAAATATGATGTTTACTCGTGTTTGAATTTAACAATGGCGCTGTGTGAAGGTTTAGTATGTGTCGTCACCGTTTTCATGGTTTCTATTACACTTGGTCCAGACGTTATTGTAAACTGTGGTCAGATTTGATGGGCTGTAACAGAGTTGGAAAACACCATTTTCCCCAAAAGTTGACACTGGAGAAATTAGGCTGGAGCCTCCATTCAATCACAAGAAATGTTAACCAGTCACCTTTTGATCATATCATTTGGTCTTTTCCAGGATCGCATCTCTTTCTCTACTTAATCTGAGAATTATTCTCAGCTCTGAAATAGCTTCAGCTTTATCTGGGTTGTCCAACACAAAGGTGGAACTCTTGTTTGTAAGTCTCAGCATGTATCCATATCTTAGTTTTGTCCCAAATCTGTGCCTGATTCTTCATGCAATAGAGACTAATGAGCTCCTAGCAA